CTTTACACAATTGATGTGTGTATGGATTGGGATAACAGTTGTATGAGCCCCTAATAAAATGTTAAAAAAGAAAAAAAAAAGAAAATGTTTTGGAAATAATGTTGGCAAAATATGTACAAATATGCTTGACAAAATTGATGATGTATGGAATGTTATAAGAGCTGTAAGAGCCCCCAATAAAATCATTTTTAAATGTTTTAAAAAGAGTTAATAAGTAAGTCTCTAGAAATTATGTTTGGATTTGAGTTCTCTTTTTCCTCTAGAACAAGGCACAGAAAATTATACAATATCTTGGTACTTAAAACTACAAATTTATATGCTGAAAGCAAACACCAAACATTTCTTGTTTTGCTTTTTTTTTAATGTAATAAAGCCAAAGCCATGAAATACAACATCATTGGCTATGGTTTTACTTTGTCAAGAACTGTTATGCATCTCTGGAAACATTTCTATTACAGTTAAGGTTTGTGTATATAAATGTCAAATATCTCTATCACTGATGCTAATGTTTCTTCTTATGTTTCTAGAGACACAAATAGGAATAAAATCAGTTCCTCTTTCAAAGTAAAGTCAAAGCTCATTCTTAAGTGCTTTACAAATATTGAGATTAATACAAGCACTGCCTTTCAGAGATGAAAAATGAGTCTTTAGTTTTGAACACCACTTCTCTTTTTGCAGTCTCTTTAGCATGTGGTAAGTAACTGGATTTCAAATTATAAGAAGTCTATTAAAGGGCACTTGGGGGCTATGATGCTTTTGTTGTTTATATTACAACTTTCAGGGACCTTACAGAAAGTTTAATAATTTGGTTGCATTAGTTGTTTCTGTACTGTTGGGGAGAAAAATTTTAAGAGCTATTTAAAAGGAGAAAATAATTCTTGGATAACTGGCTTCTATAACTGGGTGCTTTAGAAACGGAAAATCACTCTTAAGGAAATGCATATTTAGGAATCTCATTGAGTGGAGGAGCAATTTCATTCTAGTCCGTTAGCCATGTTTTTGAAGGAAACAGAATATTCATGCTATTATGCAATCAGAAAGTCAGCGAGCAAATCCTCATGCAAAGGCCTCTGCAAGAGTAATCCGAAATGCAAGGTTCAAGCCCTGACTCTGCCGCCCACTCTCCCTGTGGGTTCATGAGAAAGTCACTGAGCCTTGGAACACCAGTTTCTTGTTTATGAAATGGAGATGATGATGCCTTCTTTATAGAGTCGTTATTGGAAATCACTGATGTCATAAATATAAACCGGCTTTGTAAACTAGAACCTTCTCTAAAAAATAAATTTAAAAAATGATCATCAGGTCAAGGAATTGAATAACAAAAAATAATAATAATCTAATAGGTATTTTGTGTTCACTCTTGTTCCTGCTGGTATTTATGCTAAATCCTTCATTAGGCGAGAAGCTCCTGAAAGCCACGGCGCACACACCATAGGTAGTCTCCATGTCGCTCTCTGGATTACACTCAACTAGTGGACACTCAAAAACCTTCGTTGGCAGACATTCTCCCTGGGTCAGAAAGTGTTCTTTTCACCTCTATCCCTAGACTCTTCTGCTGCAATCCATCCTTATATACTTATCCCTATATATTCCACCCTTGAGACTGGCAGAGTGGCTGAACAACAACAACAAAGACGACGACGTAACCGTTTTACCACACTCTCTTCGGCTCCAAAACACAATCCTTGATCCTCAATCTAAACCTGCGATTTTGCAATCCAGAACAAACGGTTTGAGTTACACGCTCAGTCCCAGGAAGGAAGAAGTATTCTTTAAAGTGAAGGGGTTCCAAAGGAAATTTCATCTTTGCGGGGCCGGGCTAGAGAAATGCAGTACCCCAGCATTAGAGAGCTAGATAAGATACGGAAAGGAAGGAAAATAAGGGGGGAGGGAGACAACTGAATCAGGAGAAAGTGAAAGCAGGGTGCCCCCAGGGCACTGACGTTCCCCTCGAAGACCCTCTGTCCTGCACCGGAGCCCCACCCCTCGTGCGAACGTCAGTAGGCAAGGTGGCATTAGTGATTAGTAGCATCCTCTTAAAGGTTGATGGAACGGTGAGGCTAGGGGCACCTTCCTTGGACTGTAAATATGCCCACAGACCTCCTCTTTGCTCAAAGAGGTTCTGTATTCTTTTCCTGGTTGTTTTGTTTTACTTAGTCGGTCCTTTCCAGCACACCTTTTGGGTTTACCGATACGTGTGGTTTCCATTCCACCATTCTTAGAGGACTCTAGTAAGCCTCCGGTTCCCGGTAAACACGTGTGTCGCAGGCAGCTGTGGCGCGCCCTGCGTTTCAGCACCACTGTGTCTGGATAGCGCCCTGCAGGCCAGCACCAGGACCATCCATCTCCAGCCCACTCGATTTCCTCTTTTTCCTCCGTCTCAGGACAACGCAGCCTCCAACTTCTCACGTCTCTTTAATTCTTGCTTCTAAAGTGAAAGTGACCTCCAAACTCACACACTCCCACCCACGCTCCCACCCCCGAGTCCAATCGCGGCTCAGGGTCCTACGGGGTCACAGCAAAGCCACCAGAGATCTCCGACAGGCAAAGCCCACCTTTCCTGTACCACTGGATCCCAAACTAGCAGCCCGGAGCTCCGCTTCTCCTCTTCCCTCCACGCCCCAAACCCTTCAAGACACGCGCGCGATGATGCGCG